TGCAAACATTTAAACATTCAAAGATTCCACATAAAAATAAAAATTGATATATCATCTTGAAAAATCAGTAGATACAGCAACATAAGACTCAGATTGTCATATGGCAAAAATAAGGTACAGATCCCTGATTTTGTCACAGTCCCCAACATTTCCTTTTGTCTCCTCACTAGTGGTCCTCTCTGCATATTTACTTTATTTAATGGTCTGACCCACGTGGGCATTTTTTTCCACTTGTCTGTTGGCACACGACAACTGTCCCTCCAATTTATGTCTCGATACAACAACCATTTTATTTTACATCAACATTTTGTAAGTCAAGATTCTAGGCATGGCTCAGTTGAGCAAATCTTACATTCCACATTAACTGGCATGTTATGGTGGAACAGTGACCACTTTCCAATTGATTTACTTCCTCTGTCCTCAATTCTTTGTATGTGAGTCCTTCTACTATGCATCCAAAAGTGACTGTTCTCATGCCATCGACCATGTCATGCCACATCATCATTCAGTGCTATTGATTACTATTCCATATTCCCTGCTATCCCCCATGGCCAGGCCACACCCTGTGATAGCAGCCGAGTGGAGGTGCCTGTGCCCACATACTGTGTATGGCACAGTTAACACCAGTGAGAGGGGTTTGCTCACAGGGTCCTGGACTCCCCTTGGACATTTTCTGAGCTAGGATAATAATTCCAGTCTCCTGGAACGTCCATGTTGTTTTCTATGCCCGTTGGTTCTGTCTTCCTTTGGCAGCCCTCTCGGTTTTCCTTGAGCTACTACATCTGAAATCTTACACAATTGGGAGCACCTCTGTTGCCATGAGGTAGAACTGAGACTGATCCTGGCTCGCCACTCCCTAGTGTGAAGATGGAACAGGCCAGTCATATCTTTAGACCTCGCTTCCTCATTCTAAACTGGAGCGGCATTTAATGCCAGGATACTGAGCTCTGCAATCAGCATAGCACTCGGGAGTCTTTGCCATGACCCACTCACCCCCCTGTGACCTAGTCCTTGTCTATCTTTTCTGGATTATTTTCTTACTCTTGTGTTTGAAAGTTGCCCTCGAGATTCCCCTTGAACAAACTAAGGGTAACAAGGTGTGTGTGTGTGGTGAAGGATGGATTTCAAAAAGGCACAGGGAAGATGCATGGAGTGGAAGGAGATCGAGAGTGAGGGAGGAGGGAGAAAAACGGGAGGAAATGCAGAACAAATCTAAAAAAGTCTCTCTATGTGCTTATATAAATACTCCACAGTGAATTCCATCTTTATGTCTACTACACAGCACCAACCAAAGGAAGTAAGTGAATGAGAGGAAGAGGAGTAGAATAGGAAGAGGAGTAGAATAGGAAGAGGAGTAGAATAGGATGGGGTGGGGGAAGGGAGGAGAACGGGTGGAGCAGGGACTGAAATGGAGTGAATCAAATCCCATGTGTGTATCATTTTGTCAAAATGAACCCAGCTATCATATGTAAGTACAATGCTAAAACAAACAAACAGAATCTTACTTTCCTATTTCAGTGGGACCACCAGTGATTTAGAAAGGTGACTCTACATGAAGAGGATGGAATCAGAATTGGATCCTGAATTTGTGACATTAGAAATTTCTCGACCCGTCTGGGCCTCAGTTTTCTCATCTGTGAATTGAAGATAATGATTACAATACTTTCCACAGGAGTTTGTTATAAGAACTAAAGTAGTTAATACATGTAAATTGGGAATAGCAACCAGTAAATAGTATTAGGCGGTTTTATTATTTTAGTCCAGATAAGACTAGAATTCTAATATTCATCAATATATTACCATGCAGACAAATTTGAGAATTTAGGTGTGAAGTAAAAAATAACAGTTTCAAACACATTTTCATAAATTCTTTGACATGATTACTATGTGGGTTGGTTGGAATTTTACCTTAAAAATTTGTACTTTACAATTAATAATATTGAATCCAAATCGTAAGTCTTTCCACTCAGTGACAAGTGGTTGAGCATGTGGTTGATGATGGCAAGCGTGTCTTCCTCATCACTGTCATAGTGCTGGATTTGTTCCAGGTTGATAGAACATTACCAATATGTGATCACATTTAATCCTATTAACAGCACCATTAGGTCATCTTGGTAGGACTGGGATCATCTTTCCCCATTTACAGACTAGGAAAGAGTTTATGTGATTTGCCAAATGTCACAGATTATGAATGTGTGTGGGGGGAGCTGTTGCTTGGAAAAAAACAAAAAATTGAAATAAAAGAAAACTCAGAGTCTATGTCTTGCCCTCACAGGTGATGGTAGATGGTATTTGGTATTAAAGGAAAGTCAATAAACAGCCAGTTTCAAAAGTCCGCAGCAGGGCTTTGTTGACTGTCATCTTTAATGGTCCTTAGATATCCATAAATTATTTTGATCTGTAGTAATTTGTTGGAAAACCTGGTCCTTCAGGTACCTTTGCTGTGTCTTGGATTTTACCTCTAGAGCTGAGTTCCAATCTTCTTTCTGGGATAAGATCATGGTGCTCAATCTTACCTCAAACCACAAATCCCTTGGAAATCTCCCCAGGTTCGTGCCATATCACTCTAGCTGTTTGATGTCTTGTCATTGTGGATTAAGACATGATTTTGTAAAGAGTGTCCATAAGTATTCTGGGGCTCTCTTCCTAGAAAAAGAATTGAGAAGGTATAGCCATATAACTTGCTTTGGCCAGTGGGATGTTAGTGAAAAGTGTCATGTGACACTTCAGAAAAATGCTTCCAGAACTGAAGGAAGATTTCTTGCATCTTATTGGTGACAGCAATGCATAGAACCTCCGTCTGTCTGCTTTGTGCAAAGTGGCATGAACAAGCAGCAGATTTCTGTGGTCTTAATGTGGGGATTTGGGGACTTTTTTTATCATGGTACAGTCTATTTTGATTGATACAGAAATTGACACCTAAAAGTGAAGGCGTTTACATTACAAAAACCAAAAAACAAAGTGTTACTGGCTTATAGGTTGTCTGCTGGGCAAGAGGAAGCTATTATTGGAGGCTGGAAAACAGAGATCTATTGTTCACAGTGCTGACAATTTTTTATTGGTGGGAACTTGGGTTGCAGATTATGACTAGTGCACTTTTAGTTTTAGAGGAAGTGGTTACATACAGAAAGTTGTTATTCCCTTGGGAAATCACAGGGAATCGGAATCGGAGTGACTGAGGTAAGCCTTTCTACTTTAACTCCTATTATTGCAAGAGCCAAGGAACTTCAGAAGACGACTCCCTTCCAGGAGAGGTGGCCATGTTGCACACTTACACATCTCCAGTGAAGATGTGCATAACCCCAGTGGGCAGAATCCCAAGACTTCAGCCAGGGTTTGTTGAGTACCCCCAACAATTTTCCTGGCTTGAGAGTAGAGTCAGCTGCTCTTCAGGACCTGATTTTTCCTGGAGGGGAGGCAGGGATGTTCATGCACAGCTCGACATGGGACCCATGTCTGGTCTTCACCGACCACCAGCTGTGTGCCCTTGAGCTATTTCCTTTAGCCCTGTCAGCTCCACTTTCCCGCATCATCAGATGAAAATAACAGAGTGGATCACAGTGGATTGGTGTGAAGAACAGGAGAAACTCTGGTGACCATTACTATTACAGTTATATTTAAATTGCGATCATAGGGACTGATAAGTGCAATAAGGAAGAAGCAGCCAGGTATGACCAGTGCAATCAAGTGAGGCTCTTGGTGTGCTGCAAGAGCCAGGGAATCATTTGTCCCAGGGTTACTCGGTGGGGAAGTGGATAAAGTGCATTTTAGACAAAGGGTAAGACTTTCAGGAGAGATGGTGCTGCAGGGGGCACTGCTCACGGGATTTCCAAGAGTTATCGTGGCTGGACAAAGTGACTTGACCACTGGGCTCTCGAGAAGGTGGGTGAGAGAGCCAGACACATCTGCCATGTTAGAAATCATTTCTTTATCTTTCTCTCTTCCAGGGTTGCTAAGAAAGAAAAAAAATTATATAGAATTAAATTTCATTCCTTACACCATATTTTCCCATTAAGTTCAGATCTATTTTTTTTCTATCCAAATGTGTGCTTTCTTGGGCAGCAAGCTCTGTGACTTTGGATGGCAGTGGGTTCTTTGTACTCCATGGAAAGATCTTTTCAAATGAAAGTTATGAGAAAAATCCCATACTCTATGCTGAGAAGGCCTCTATATTCCACTTCTTATCTCACCCATGAAAAATGCTTCTAATTATCTGCCTGCCCCTATCATTTGAAATAGTTCCCTATCAACTATTCAACCCAGATAATTGAGCTAAACCTTTAAAATGGGTTTTTAGTGGGAGAACCCAGCAGTGGAGAATAAGTGGATCTTAGTAAGTAAAGTGTCTCACAATCGAAGGCAGACTAATGAGAGCTTGACAGCATTTGTGATTATGCACATTTAAAAAGTCTAGCTCTCCAGAGATAGAACTGACAGGGGGGCGTATTAGCCCAGTGTCTATAGCCTTCCTCAAGGTGTTGGAACACTGTGTTCAGAGAGATGTGCCGAGATGCTTGTTTCCAAGCTGTCAAATCCATCCTTTCCCCCAAATAAAGCCTTTTGGACAACATTGACATATTGAAAGGGTTGATTTAGAGCCACCCTGGGGTACCAGGGCAAGGCAGGCCCCCTTGGAATCTCCCTAGATCCATTCCAATGCAGCCAATCTTCCATGCCAAGTCCCAAGACTTTGGAGCAGACAGGACGGTGAGGTGAGCACTAGGTTAGGAGTCCTTTCTCGGAGTTGGCTGCCTGGCCTTAGGCAAAGCATTGCAGGTTCAATTTCATCATCTGCTGAGTTAGGCATGCTTGACTAAAGGATCTTGGAAACCCCTCCTTACTGCACTGTCCTCTGAATTCAAATAGATTCCTTTCTGCAAATAAGGGTTGTGCTCAGAGTTAATATTAACAGCTGCTTCTCAAGGTCCTGGGTCATGTGTTTTACTTAACTAATCTCTGATTCTTATTGTAGCACTGATCTCTATTTTTCTGTTTTATAGATAAGGAACATGAGAATGGGTGATATTCAGCACTTGCCAAAGTTTGCATAGCTTGGAAGTGAGGCAGCATATGCTGTGACCCAGAGAGAACTCGGACCCCAAAGCCAGGGCTCCTTCTTTCATGCTGTTGAAGAAAAACCTACCTGTGCTGGGTTTCAGGATTTCTACTTATATCTATAAGGGATGCTTCTGATGGCAGTTGATTTCATTCTCATGTTGTTGACCACTAATAAACTCAAATTTTTGAAGGGAAATAAAATTTCCCCTTTGATTTATCCAGAGAACAAGTGAGAATTGACAAGAACCATCTTGAAATATGTAAACATCTGATCCTATGTAGGGAACGGCGCAGACATTGGTTAAATAGCGTATTCCTACAGACCCCAAGGGTCGATCAAGGACCAGTGGGTGAAGAGTCAATCCAGCCCAATTTGAAGAATACATTTCAAAGGACTCTGTACTTGGCAGGATTACTGTTGAGAAGATTCAGGTGCAATCTGGAACATCAGGAGTGTGGGCAAGAGTCTTCCAGGTCCGTCCTTACAGGGGGAGATTTTCCCCAGCACCTTTGGGGAAGAGGAAGGCAGGTCCTCACGCCCTGCAGAAGTTTAATGTGAGTGGAGCCCATTGCAGTGGGACAGAGATGAGCAGTGCTCCAGTTCCCGCCAGGTAAGGCAGAGGGAAGGCAGGGACACAGGGAGACCCGCACCCTGCACCTGAGGACCAAGTTCTGCTTCCTTCCTTCTAGCTCTCCTGACGAGCAGGGCTGATTTATTTTATTTACGTATATACTTGCTCATTTTCTGACTCCTTCACTGTGTTATATGACTACAGGGACCATTTCCATCTTATTCATCATCATATAACCCATGACGATGGAATGGCTAATGCATGAAGCCAACGCTCAGTAAACATACTTAAATGAAGGGCATAACCTAAAGCAAGGAAGAAACTAAGGGTAACCTGAACCAAGGCAGAAATCAGAGCAGGTGAAACCAAAGAGATAAAAGAACTGAATGGAACTGGGTCTCCACAGTGGAGGCCATGGAACTGTTCCTGTCAGCACTGGTTTGCTCCATCAGTCCATCAGAAAGTCTCTGAAGGTCCATCCCCCACTTCCCAGGCCTCAGAGGACCAGAGGCCTGTCTTAGCAGGTCAGAACCCACCCTTTCCCACTCACAGGAGGTTTGGGAGTCTATCTCCTCTTCTCTGGCGAGTTGATTCTGTGGTTTTACTGGGCACCCCTGCACAAATCTCCCATTGCACACCTACTTCCCTCATCCTCCCAAGAATTGCTTTTGATAAAATATCATTCTGGGTCTGAATCCCACATTAGTTTATTGGGAGACTGATCCCAGACCCTAACGTCTGCAGCTCAGTGGCACTGAAGCTCTGGGATTTCATGAATTCACTCCAGCACACTGATCCCTACCATAATATTTGACTTAGGGCATTGATTTGTAGGAAAGAAGGAAGGAGAGAGGGAGGGGAAAAGGTGGGGAGGATGGGAAAGAAAAGAGAAATGAATGGGGATGGGGGGAAGAAAGGAGGGAGGAAGATAAAGGGAAGAAAAAGAGAGGGAGGGAAGAAAGAGAGGAAGAGAGAGGCGGGTTGTTATGATTTGTACATGAGGTGTTCTCCAAAGCTCCCTTGTTAATGCAGGAGGTGAGATGATTAGATTACGGAAGCCATAACCTACTCATGGATTAATCCATTTGATGCCTTAATAATTTGAATGATGACTAGTAAATGACTGTAGGCCGATGAGGTGTGACTGGAGGAAGTTGGTCCCTGGGGATTCCATATTTTGTCACTATCTCCTCCTCTCTCTCTCTGCCTCCTGGCTGCCCTGAACTGAGTAGCTCTCCTTTGCCACACCCTTCTGCCATGATGTGCTCTCTCACCCCAGGCCCAGAGCCATGGATTGGCTAACCATGAACTGAATCTCGGAAACCATGAGTCCAAAAGGACTTTTTCTTCTCTAAGTTGCTCTGTCAGGTATTTTGGTCCCAGCAATGAAAAGCTGACTAACACAGGTTGTTTTTTTTTCCCCCCAGCCTAATAGTCGCTGTGTTTTGGATTTTTCTGAATTTATTCTCTTCTCTCCACACTGCTGAACTACAGGAAGGGATGTCCTCCTCTCCCACTGAGTCCTTTTGGAGTTTGGATGCCAGATCCTGCCTGACCGAGGGATGTCTTCTTCATCTTAACGTGTGTGTCCTTTCCTGTCCCTAGATAATGTCCTCAGAACATGCAGGTGGTGAAGTCCCTGCTCAACCTGTGCACACTTGAGCAGGAAACTTCAACTCAGTGTTATTTTCTGCACCTTCCCATCAGGGGTTAAATTTACCTCCAGAGGGCCACTGGGCAGATTAAATGGAACAACAGCCAGGCAGCTCTTGTTACACGGTAAGTACTCAATAAATTCTCCATCGTTTCCCTGCCCCTGAAGATGCCCCTTTTCTTGTCCTCAAGGCAAGTTGACATGGAGGCTGTCTGCTCTGGAGGAAGGCAAAGAGGCTTATGGAACGGAGGGCAGAGGCAGGGACAGTTCCATTAACAGATGCAGCCGCTGTGGCAGAGACATTTTCCACTTGGCACCACTGCTAGATGTCTTTGCTGAGCAAAGATTTAAGCCCCAGATACCATTTGATTTGCATGCTTGGGGGAATAATAAAAGAACCCTATTATGGGATGCAATAGCCTGTGATCTCATTGAGGAGCTGCTGCAGATTGCTTCAGGGAGAAGGTTACTGTCCAGTGTAGCAAATCACCGCCAGCAAAGAAGAAAATACAGCAATTTCAGAGAAAAAGCACAAGTGAAGCTTCTAGGGCAGAGAGCCCGTGTGTTACCTTGGCCCCGACACGAGGCAACTACTTGCTTCCTGATGAGCTTAGCTCGTAGGAAAAGTGACAAAATCTCTCCAAATTTGGCAGGCTTTGAGAAAAATTCACCATGCATACATTGCTGCATTCCTATGGTGGATTCTTAAGGAAGACTTTTGGGAATATGATTATTTCAGGTTTTCCTACCTGCAGAGGATATTTGAGTTAATTTGGTTTGAATAAGAATTGAGAACTGCTGTTTTCCCAGGGAATCCCCCCCCTGGCTACCACACCAATTTGTAATAGCTGATGATTTAGTGCTGGGCACCTGACCCAGGCTTGTCTGATCATCTCTTGCGAGAATTTCCTTCACCTTGAAGTGAGAAATTCAGTGTGCCATTCTTCATGCATGAGGGTTCTCGAATGAGAAATTTGTAAGCTCCCAGGTGGCAGATTTCCTAGACCAGGGGAATTTTACCACGACAGGGATGACACTGGATCCAGGGAGACGGGAGGAAAGGAGACACGGGGTAAAGACCTCATGTGTTTTGGTTCTTACTGGAACCCCTGATGCTCCCTCATTATACATGAGAAAGAGGAAGCCAGCTGATGATCTGGGAGCTGTCTGGGCTTGCAACTTGGGGGCTCACCTGTCCAAGAGAAACCAAATACCAACCTGAGAGGAGGCCACTCTCTGACCACGATGGATCACAGATGAAACAATCTTTTTCTAATTCTGAGCATGAACTTTGTTCAAGCCACAGAATAACAGGTGTCCCCATCTTGGCAAACATGAGGGACTGCTCTATTTTGTCAATTGCTTCTCACCCTTGCTCTAATCGGCCTCCCAACAGAAGAAATTTACTAAGATAATCTTAGAGGCACGCTTGCTACCTGACAGCATCCTATCCAGGACACGCCCCCAAATCTCCTCAAGATCACCCAACTAAAGCCCAAATCTCACAGTAATTTCTTTCCAACACTTCCTCCTGAGACACCCAGCAGTTCCGCAAGAAACCCAATTTGTTTAAATACCAGTGCGCTCCTGGTAATCTTGGGCTGGAGGACACTGACCTACTGCTCAGTGCTGAGGGCCATTACCAAGTAGGAATGACGCATCGAAATTTCCTTGCCAAGCGTACCCCATGCTGCTTAGAGGACATTCGATGGGACATTGCATGCATGCTTTAATAAGGTGACCTTGCTCAAGGACCAAGGCGGATCCAGGTTTAGAGCTGATCAGGTTTGAGGAAGTAACCAGCTCCTTGAGTTTAAGGCGTTGCCAGTTTAAGATAATGGGTTTTAGGGAAGTTGGAAGTTGAAGATTATTGCTGGGATTAGGGTGTTCCTGCTGCTTGTTCCCGTTGAGTTCTCGTGAGATTAAAATGGGATTTGGAGATAGCCTCGTGGAGTAGGTGAATTGTGTGGGAGACGGAGAACGCGATTGCCCCTGGACCTGTGTGGAGGCGGTGTGAGAGCGGGAATAAAGAATTGCTGTTTGAACCTACAAAGCTGTGAGTGCCTCGTGATTCTGGTGCCAAGCATTGGCCTTGGCAGCTCAGCCCAAGTCCCGCTCCCCTGGAATAATCCTGGTATTCATCTGCTTAATTTCCCTCTTCCTCTAAGCCAGTTGAGCTTCTGGAAATTGCCATCAAGGGTGTCCTGACTGATGTGACTCCCAATCACCTCGGTATGAAGCATGTGCATGTGGTCTGCCCCGAGTTAGCCAATGAGTATGCCTCTCCCCAAGACTCCACTTATTCCATCTATTGAGTTTCGCTGTGCACTAGGCATGTCCTCAGTACTGAGGACTCAGCAGTAAGTGACACACGTAGGCGTCTCACACCATGAACATTGCATTTAATGCCACGTGGTTTGTTCCATCTGGGCTAGTGCTCCCCACGTGCTGAAGGGTTTCTCGCTCTTAGAGGTGACTGCTAAGGGCCCCAGACTTAGGAAGACTTTTGTGTTTATAAACCATGTGGTAAAAAGTCTATGATTTAAGTGGAAAGATAGGTGGCAAATGGTGGCTTCAGTCAGTGTCATGCAGTGGAAATGGTTGGATCTGGGTATAATTTGAAGATAGAATTAAACAAATTTGCTGGCAGATTGCATGTGGGTTGTGAGAAAAGGAGAGGCTCAGGTTGTTTCCCAGAATCAAGGCCTCTTCTTGGCCAAAGTGGAATTGCATCTTCTAAGTTGGAAGAGAAGAGGAGAGGAGAGGAGGGGAGATGAGGGGAGGGGAGAGGAGAGAAGAGAAGAGACAGTCTTTTGGGTGATAGAAAGGGCAGAAAAGCTGAGGACAAGCATTTGGGTGGGAATGGGGTGATCTGAGATCCTATTAGACATGCAATTGAGAAGGAGATGATCCACACCAAGTGTCACTTAGTCCTTTCCTATGGCACCTGTTTCCTGCTATCTAATGCCTTTTCCTCCAGCACAAACATCATGTTGGTCTTTCTTCTCCACTTAGGCCCTACCTGTTCTTCAAAATTCCTTGGCACCCTCCCTTGTCCGTGGCTACCACTCATTTGATATTTACTGCAGTGAGGGTCACTAGGAGAATGCAGCTCCCTGCAGCTGTAAGGGACTCAAGTGCCTCCCACAGGGCAGCTCCTCCAACCCCAAGGTCACAGAGCATTCTGCCTGACACTCTCCAGCTGCTGGGAGCACACACCAGGATGCAGATGAGAGGAATGAGAACCAGGGGAGAGGGGGATGTGAGAGTCACTGCCTATGAGACCTAGGCACGAGAACTTTGCTCATTCCAGGTGAGACAGGGAAATCTAGATTAGTCCTGTGTACGGGGGCTGGATTTTGGTAAGCCTTGGGCTCTCTGGTACTGACCTATCACTGTCAAGTTTAGGGCACCTTTCTGTCCTCTCCTCTTCCATGTGTAGATCTGTCCTATGTCAAGTCCAAAGCAGAGGAGCAAAGTCCATGTGGAAGTCATCCTGGAATCATGCCCAATAAATACATCTTTCCAATTGGGCCTTTTGGATTTACAAGGTTTAATTCTCCTGCTCCTCTGGAATCCCTCGCGGGTAATTGTGGTTGACAGGTTTACGCCTCATGACGGGCGTTTTGTCACTCAGCTCCAGCTCTTGCAAACGACTTTACAGTCTGTCAAGCCTAAACCTCTTTAAGCTGTGGCAATTGATGTCAGATAGCATTGGCTGCTGTGATTCAAGGCTGAGGCTTACTCTGGCATGAAATAAACTGAATCTTCACTGAGGAAGGAAATGGAAACTAAAGAAGGAGGAAGTTTCTTCTGGAGAGGAATGGAGCGTGGCGGACAAAGACCCACATGGCGCGGGTGCTTCTCCCGCCACTGGAGCAGGGCAGGCTGCAGGTTGCCGGCACCTTTGGTGCAGGCCTGGGCTCAAACAGGCTGCTGCCAGGGTTAGTCAGCCAGCAAAGGTGCGTAGGCACCGGCCTTTCCCAGGTGCTTTAGGTGTGAGAACTGGGGACAGCCCCATGGCCATCTTCCATGGCAGTGACACTAATGCCTGCCTCTTGGGGTTCAGGGGAGGACGTGATGACGTCAATCACTCATCCAGTTAGCTATTTACTGAGCAGCAGTCACAGAACATTCCTTCTTCTAGAACTGAAGATACAGCCAGGAAAAAATAGTGCCTGCTCCTGTGGAACAGGTGCAGGGTCAAGGGAAAGGCCAGTGAGGGCTGACCATCAGAAAAATGCACAATGGAACCACCATTTGACCCAGCTATCCCACTCTCCAGTTTATACCCAAAGGAATTAAAAACAGCTTACTACAGGGACACAGCCACATCAATGTTTATAGCAGCACAATTCACAATAGCTAAGCTGTAGAACCAACACAGATGCTCTTCAGTAGATGAATGGATAGGGAAAATGTGGTATATATATATACACGCATTAAAAGAGAACAAAATCATGGCATTCGCAGGTAAATGGATGGAGCTGGAGAATATAATGCTGAGTGAAGTTAGCCAATCCCCCCAAAAATCAAATGCCGGATGTCTTCTCTGATCTGAGGATGCTGACTCATAATGGGGATGGTGGGGAGGGGGAGCACAGGTGGAATGGAGAACTCTAGATAGGGCAAAAGGGAGGGAGGGAAAGGGAGGGGGCTTGGGGGTAGGAAAGTCGGTGGAATGAGATGGAAATCTTCATCCGAAGTACACATATGAAGACACGAATGGTGTTACTCTGTGTACAATCGGAGACATGAAAAAGGTGCTCTATGTGTGTACTGTGAATTGAAATGCATTCTGCTGTCGTGTATAACAAATTAAAATAAATGAATAATTTTTTAAAAAGGCAGTAGCCTCTGTGTAAATAACTGAGAAGCAGTTCTCTCTGGACCCTTAACAAAGCAGAGAACAGCGTCCCTCCGTCCCTGGCTATGAGGAGAAGCCTCAGTTCCCTCAGTCCTGTGCCTGCTGTGCCTGTCACTCTGGGCCTCCGCAAGGCAGAGAGTGCGCGGGCCCCTGTCTCCTCAGTGTTCCCTGGTCTCATCTTCTATCCAAGCACAGGATCTAGCTCAGAGTCCGACAGAGACACTGTGCTCCCTGGCTTAGTTCTGTGCCTGTAGTTCTGTGACATTCAGCTGGTACACCCAGCTCAGATCCAGCCCAGGGCTGACTCTCACAGGGTCCCTGAGGGGCCACAGCGTTGCCTCCACACCCCACGATGACCGTCATTCTCTTTCACATCTGCCCTTCATTCACCTGAGTGGACAGCAGGCCACGCTGCCTGCCCACTGGCCCATTAATGTCACTCAAGCCCCTGTAGGCAGCCCCCTGATGTGCTCTTGGCTGGCCTGGACAGCCCTCCCCGGCACAAGCAGACTAATGAGATGAGGAGAATCCAAAGGGCACATTTCCATGCAGATGGGAGTCTCTTCCTATTCCCCTATCATCTGTGTGTGTGTGTGTGTGTGTGTGCGTGTGTGCGTGTGGTGGGCAAGATCTCTGATGAGACCAAATCTTGAAGATTTAAAGATTTTTTTATTATTATTCAAGTTAAGAATTAAATGTTCTAGGGCTGGGGATGTGGCTCAAGCGGTAGCGCGCTCACCTGGCATGCGTGCGGCC